CTGGCTCTGCCTCCTGAGTGCTGGGATTAAAGGCGTGTGCCACCGCCACCACCACCACCACCACCACCACCACCACCACCACCCAGCCATCACTGCTATCTTAAAAGTCAGTCTTAAAAACAAATATCCACCACAGGAAAAACAGCAACACATAAGAGATTGGACACTGTGCCTTTGGGCCCGATCTTAACAAGGTCCTCCATCTGGTTTGCTCCCCTTAGGGCATACTGTCTGGAGAATGAAAGCACACACACACACACACACACACACACACACACACACACAGTGTACACAGTGTAGCTGATGTCCTGCTGTGACGCCTGCTGCTGGCCTCCCTGTTGAGCTGCCACGGCCACACTTGTGCAGGGCTTCACATTGCACCACCTCATTTCTCCTCACAAGCCCATCAGCGTCTGTGTCAGCCTTTTCCACTAGACCACAGGTTCTTCTGGGGCCTCCATGCAATTCTTCACACATCTACCATCACACCTCCAGAATGAATCCAAACACAACTTTGTACATATTCCTGACTCATAAGTGTTTCTTAAAATATTCATGAGGCTTCTTTTCCCATGCTCATTTTTGTTATGTAGGAGTTTTTGGAAGGCTATGTTTATTCTACTTTACAATCCTCTTAAATTATTTCATCATCAATCATAATCTGATGTGTTTATCCAGAGTTTTAGATTAGGGAGTCTATTTCTTAGTTCCTAAATTTGTACTAAACATTCTGGCCACTTGGTGTTCAATTAGACTCCTTATAAAGTAGCAGCACAATCTCTGTCTCTGTCTCTCCCTCCGTGTGTGTGTGTGTGTGTGTGTGTGTGTGTGTGTGTGTGTGTGTGTGTGTGTGTGTGTAGCTTGCTGGGAAGGATAGAGACACTGGGTACTTACCTTTTAAAATGGGCTCTGCCTTGGTATTTCCCTAATCTCTCTCTCTCCCTAGCTGCTGCAACATACTGTATTTAGATCTTTTTTCAAGACCTTCCAAGAATAATCAATGTAAGTGAAATCTATACTATCACTAATTCCTTCATTAGTTGTTATGTAGCATTTATAGTCTTATTTGTGGTTTGTGAGTCTGCATAGCTTACCTTCCCAGGCTGCCGGCTGCTTAAGAGTCAAGGACTCTGTCGTCTCGTCTTCACAGACTAACAAGGTGCTGGAAAACAGTAGACATCAAAAGTGCCTTTTCTTGATGGAATCCCATTATTCCCTGTGAGTGGATAGCTCATACCAGTATCATTTCCTTAGACACCGGAAAAGGGGAAGTACTCACTTCAGATAATGCAAGAAAGCTTGCCAATCTCGCTGCTTCCTTGAAATGGAGGTGTAAGCACTCCTTTGGAGCACTTGACATGCTAACTTCTACAGACTGTGATTAGGGACTTGAGTCTGAGAGAGACCAGAAGGGGCTGAGAGCACAGTCAGAACTCATCCTTTTTGCAATTAGCGCTCTGATCCTATTAGTTGTCATTTTGAAGCAAAGGATATGAAAAAGGTTTAGACATCTTCTGGGGGAGCACAACTGCAACCCACTCCCATTTGCCGCTTAGCAACTTTAAACAGCTCCCACTAACAGGTTTTTCATTGCAGACACTTCAGATACCCTGTCCCCCACTTCTGAAATTCAGAAGCGATGTTTAAGACTTTTGTTAGTGAGGAAGAAGACCAAACAATGCAGGTGAAAATAAGGACCATGTGGTGCAAGTCAGGTCATAAAATTCTGACTCTAGCATTGTGTCTTAGAGTCTCACTTTTCTGAGATTTATGGATCTGTGAAACAGGGAGACAGGCTAGTAAAAGTATATAGGTTTATGTATGTGTTTTATCGCAAATTCTCGTGTTCTGTGTCAGAGCACCATGGCTTAAGACTCTTTAAAATGATTCTAAATTTAACACATACTCATTGATTAATGTTTATAAAATGGTCTATGAAGAAACTCATAATTGTATTATCTACAAGCCTTACTGCAAGGATTCTAAAACAGCTTTAAAAAACATTGGCAGATTTTTAAGAAAGTGGTCGCTCAGGCAGATCTCTGTGAGTTTGAGGCCAGCCTGGTCTACAAAGTGAGTTCCAAGACAACCAGTGCTATTACACAGAGAAACCCTGTCTTGAAAAACCAAAACAAACAAACAAACAAATAAATAAGAAAATAAGAGAGAGGCCGGTACAGCACCACTGGCCCACATCTCCCTTCTGCTTCAAACAAAGGAGCTGGTAACTCGTTTCATCTCCTGCTGCTCTATTTTTCTGTACATTGTTTCTTTCTTTAATGTCCAGAGAAGCTGATCACCAAATTAGGCTCTTTTTCATTTCATAGGAAACCTTCTTTTCAGTTTTATGTGGTCTACCATAAAATCTAGAATGACAGCCCACAGTTTTACAATCCTGCCATGCTTTGAATCTGAAACACCCCCCACAGGCCTGGCAGTGCTATTTGAGGAGTCTGTGGAATATTAGAGAGGTGGGACCTAGCTGGGGCCCACTTTTGAAGTTTGCACCCAGCCCAGGGCTCTTCTCACTTTCCTGTTTCCCATCTGCTCTCACTCAGCTTTCTGCCAGGCACTCCTGCCACAGACTGAGCTGTTCATGATGCTTTCCTGACACAACGGTCTGAAATAAAAACCAAACAAAGTCCTCTCAGGGACTTGAAAGTAACCAATACTAAAGTACTTAAACCCTAAGCGATAAAATGTGAACACTTCAACTTGAAAAATCTGCTTCCAGATTTCCTCTCCATGGTCAATACCCGTCTGTATTCCACATGACCCTTGAGCAAACCTGGCTGCCTTGAAGCTGCTCCCTGAGAAAGTCAGTGCCTCGAGTCAGGGCCTTGAAGACTCCTGGTCCTGTGGTACTTCCCGGTCCTTTTCACAAGGCTGACCAAGCACCTGTCACTCAGAGAGGATTTGGACAGGAATGGGTGTATAAAATGCTAGTGGGGCTGGATCTAATTCCACATACGATGGAATAAGCAAACCAGTCTACTCTGCCTTCCACTCAGTACAACCACAAAACATAACACAGGGATCAGCTAGTGCTCACAAACATAAAAATTGTAGCAGCAAAACTGGGGAGGCAGAATTCCAAGGACCACTGAACCAGTAAATAAACAATTACTGCCCTCCCCTGTGCCCTCACTGGATGCATGACTACCTGGGCACAGAGAGAACTCTAGAATGCGTCTCTTCTGTAGGGCATGGGAAAGTCTAACACCAGAGTCAGTCCCCTATTTTTCATTCTCTCTCCCTCTCTTTTCTGTTCACTCTCGTTCTCAGTTTCTGTTTCTCTGTGTGTCTCTGTGTCTCTCTGACATTGAAGGATGTAAACTGTAGAAAACTGCTTTGGGGGACTTTGGGTGTTACAGCTGTTTGTGAATCACTCATGCTCCTGTAAGTAATCTTAATAAGCCCACTTACTTCTCCAGCTAGACTCAACAGAATCTTTAAGTCTGCCTGCTCCTTCGGTATTTGGGGTAATACATGATTTTTTTTTTAATGCCGAATGCTGTTTATTGAAGGAGGGAAGAGGTCTTAAATACAGGCTTACAGCACAATGGGAGAACCCTGGAGGGCAGAAGTTTGCTACCAATGTTTTACAATCTTGCATCTAAGTTGTTAATGCCCATTATGCAAGATACACAGACAAGGAACTTCCCTTAAGCATTCAGGAGGGTGGAACCCGGCAGGGAATCAGCAGAGGGAGGATATCAAGGTCAAGGTCAGCAAGCAAGACAACAGTTACCCAAAACAGGGGCCAGGGCCCTACAGGTCCCCCTTTTACTAAAAAAATGAGCTTCTGACTTAGGTTGCGTGGGACATCAGCAGGTCACCTTACCCGTCATGGAGACGCCTGCCCAGGCCACACAGGCGCTCTGTCTTAGGTTGGTGAGCGCCCCCCAGGTATTACCCATCTCTGAATACTCATTATCATACAGGCTCAATCATGTGTGAGCTGCAGAGTTAACTGCTGCCAAAGTGGCACTGGGCTTGCAATCTGTGTGTTCGACACAGAAAAGACCAAAAGAGGTCCTATCCACCCATAGCCAGTAGGCTAAAGGCAACTGAGCCATTCCCTTCCTTAACGAGCCTTACTGCAAATTGGAGTCCTTGTAAGATGGTATCTCAAAAGCAAATGGAAATTGAGTTTATAAATTTATAATTTTCAAAGCCAATCGAAATGTATATAACTATTGAATTAAATTTATCATGCCCAATAGAATGAAAGATTAACTAACTGTGGTAGCTACTTTTGCTGTCAGGGTCTCTCTCCACTGTGCTAGCTGTAGTAAGCAATTATGAAATGGTAATCCCAGAAACAGTAGCAGTGGTGTCCGCCACTGCTATAACAGCAACAACGGCAGCAGCAATGTCAAATTCTCTTCTGGAGTGTGTGGACATCCACTGGCATGGATACAACTCCAGGAACACGAACTGCCAAGGCCCATTTTTCTTGATCCCAGCACGACTTAGGCTGGCAGCTCTTCTGGGGAATCCAAAAGCATGGCTACAGTTCCTAGGCTTACGTTAATGCTTGCCAAAGCTGGCCATATTGGGCTCTCAATTCCCATTGGCTTCAGAAGGGGAGAGTTTTTCATTAGGACCCAATAGGTCTCTGTCATGTTGGGTTTCAGCAGCAGCCACAGGGCACACACAGCACTAGGGAATCCAAAGAGGAATCTCATTGTCCTGAGGAAAGACATAAACAGAACCCTGGGCCCACACCAACACCAGATTGGGTCTCCTCCAAGTGCTAGTAGAAAGATCCTTCCATCGCTCCAGAGGGTGATTTGCAACAGGAGACCTCCAGTGCTTATCTGCAGTGGATACTCCAGCAGAATCCACTGATAAAAAATTTAAAATATATAAAACGAGGGAAAGAATAGAATGTGGAGAGGAATGATGAGTCCCCAGTCCCCCCCCCTTTTTTTTTACTCCAGCAAAATATGTTTGGCTCCTTTTTAAACAGTTCAAATTTTTCTTTTATTTTTTATTTTTTTTCATTTTTCACTTTTTCAAATTAATCAATTTATACACTTTTCTATTACCAGCTTGATACAGTATATATTCCCATCTTAATTGTGAAATGTTTCATTGAGGATTGCTCAGTAATTGAGTAAAACCAAAACTTATTATAAGCCACAGTCGTCCTAGGGTCCCCCATGCTATATATATATATAGTCTCCATGGTTCTGTGGGTTGTAGTCTGATTGTTCTTTATTTTATATCTAGAATCCACTTATGAGTGAGTACATACCATGTTTGTCCTTCTGGGTTTGGGTTACCTCACTCAGGATGACTTTTTCTAATTTCATCCATTTGCCTGCAAATTTCATGCTTTCATTGTTTTTCTCTGCTGAGTAGTACTCCATTGTGTATATGTACCACATTTTCTTAATCCATTCATCAGTTGACGGGCATCTAGGTTGTTTCCAGGTTCTGACTATTACAAATAGTGCTGCTATGAACATAGTTGAGCATATATCTTTGTGGTATGAATCAGCGTTCCTTGGGTATATGCCCAAGAGTGGTATGGCTGGGTCTTGAGGTAGTTTGATTCCTAATTTTCTGACAAACTGCCATACTGATTTTCACAGTGGTTGTACAAGCTTGCATTCCCACCAACAGTGGAGGAGTGTTCCCTTTGCTCCACATCCTCTCCAACATAGACTGTCATTAGTGTTTTTGATCATAGCCATTCTGACAGGTGTAAGGTGGTATCTCAGAGTCGTTTTGATTTGCATTTCTCTGATGATTAAGGATGTTGAGCATTTCTTTAAATGTCTTTCAGTCATTTGTGATTCTTGTTTTGTGAATTCTCTGTTTAGGTCTTTAGCTCATTTTTTAATTGGATTGTTTAGTATTTTGATGTCTAGTTTCTTGAGTTCTTTATATATTGTGGAGATCAATCCTCTGTCAGATGTGGGGTTGGTGAAGATCTTTTCCTGTTCTGTAGGCTGTCTTTTTGTCTTATTGACTGTGTCTTTTGCCCCGCAAAAGCTTCTGAGTTTCAAGAGGTCCCATTTATTAATTGTTGTGCTCAGGGTCTGTGCTGTTGGTGTTATATTTAGGAAGTGGTCTCCGGTGCCAATATGTTCAAGAGTACTTCCTACTTTCTCTTCTATTAAGTTTAGTGTAACTGGATTTATGTTGAAGTCTTTGATCCACTTGGACTTGAGTTTTGTGCATGGTGACAGATATGGATCTATTTGTAATCTTTTACATATTGACATCCAGTTATGCCAGCACCATTTGTTGAAGATACTTTATTTTTTCCATTGTATAGTTTTGGCTTCTTTGTCAAAAATCAGGTGTTCATATGTGCATGGATTAATGTCAGGGTCTTCAATTCGATTCCATTGGTCCATATGTCGGTTTTTATACCAGTACCAAGGTGTTTTTGTTACTATAGCTCTATAGTAGAGCTTGAGGTCAGGCATGGTGATGCCTCCAGAGGTTGTTTTATCATTCAGGATTCTTTTAGCTATCCTGGGTCTTTTGTTTTTCCATATGAAGTTGAGTATTTTTCTTTCCAAGTCTGTGTGTGTTGGGACTTTGATGGGGATTGCATTGAATCTGTAGATTGCTTTTGGTAAGATTGCCATTTTTACTATGTTAATCCTACCTATCCATGAGCATGGGAGATTCTTCCATTTTCTGATATCTTCTTCAATTTCTTTCTTTAGAGATTTAAAGTTCTTATCAAAAAGGTCCTTCACTTGTTTAGTTAGTGTTATCCCAAGGTATTATATATTATTTGTGGCTATTGTAAAGGGTGATGTTCCTCTTACTTCTTTCTCAGCCCTTTTATTATTTGTGTAAATACATGATTCTTATACATTCCCCCAGAAGAAGCATGTAAAAAAAAAAACATTAAAGTATGGCTAAAGCATATTACCAGAGGCTTGCATTGGGTGTCCTTATCAGTTGATCTTTCTTAATACTCTAAAACAGGCTTTCTTGCTGAACTTGGAGCTCACTAGCTGAGAAGGGCTGGTTGTCCAGAAAACTCAGAAATCTGCCTGCCTCCTTGGCACTGGGATTATAGCAGCCCACCACCACACTTGGCCTTCTACATGGATTCTTGGGATCCAAATTAATGTCCTTAGGCTTATGTGGCCAGTAATTTTATTAATTAAGCCACCTCTTCAGCCCTAAACTTATGTTTTGTTTTGAAGAAAATCTGAAATATGCATTTGGTGCATAAACTTCCTCTATTCATGCTCTGATCTTCCAGTAATTTTTGTTTGAGCATTGTGTGTGTGTGAGTGTGTGTGTGTGTGTGTGTGTGTGAGAGAGAGAGAGAGAGAGAGAGAGAGAGAGAGAGAGAGAGAGAGAGAGAGAGACGAGGAGGGGGGAGAGAGACTGTCACCTAGGCTGGCCCCCATCTTACATGTGCTGGTATTATACCACCATGCTCAATCCCTTCCATGTAAACTGCTGAAGTTGAACTCACCAACCACTAATAGTGTCAAATTATGTCACATATGGTGCACTCCAGTGGCACAAACTCCAGTTAGTAATGAGCCCATCAAGAGACATCAATGACCTGTGTTGGGTACCACCAAAGGCAAGGTGAAAGTCAGTTACCAGCTTTATGAGCCCAAACTAGGAGAATTGCTGTATCAGAGTGGGCTACTTAATATGGGGAAGTGCTTCCCCATTTTGTAGTCATTGCTGTTTTAACTATATTAGTCAACTGGTTTAGCACATTCTGATTTAGTATTCATTTTTTATCAAATGTGGAAACACTTTTCTTCTTGTTTTATTAATCATCATATTCATTCAATAAAAATGTAATGCCAGGTATATAGCAATCATGGGTCACAAATAATGCCTAAATAGTAAATGCAAGACATAGAGGATCCACTCCCATCTGGGGGTCATTTTGTTTTTTATGCTTTAGTTCTGCATGCTCATAGTCTAGCCAGGCAGATTCTATGTTAAGTTCTAAAGTGTCTTGTATTACCTTTTTTTTTCCTAATAGGCTATCCAAAAGTAGCATCTGACTAACAGTGTGTATGAAAATGCTGCAATGAAACCCATAACTTGATATGCTAACCGAAGATTAATTTAAAGGGGGGGGGGATGAAAAGAGAAACTGGCAAGTAATGTAAGTGGCCGGTTTATAGAGAAAGAAGTACAAAAGACTATTAACAAGTTCAAACTCTCTCATAATAAATAAACTGAAACTCCATACCTCCATAGGTCACGTTCACCTATGGCTGCTTGGCAACAACCCAAGTTTGTCAGTATACTCTTCGGGGAAGGATGAGAACCTGCTGCTCTCATGCATTGATTCTGAGTGAGGAAATTGGCACAAGCTCTAAAGAATCAGTATCTACCAAAATGGGAATGCATATTCTTCTCTGGGTTTTGGGATCAAATACAGGAAGGATTGTGCATGCTGGGCAAGTGCTCCACAACTCAGCCACACATTGAGCCCTTGGTTCTTTTAGACCCAAGAATAGGGCTGGGAAGATGGCATTAGGACCTGAGTTTCCATCCCTGGAACTTACATAAAAATCTCTATACTGAGACTGACCATCTTACGATCCATTCACAGTATTTTTTTCAAAAAATAAAACTTTTGCTTAAATCATTTATACCGTTTATTTAGTTCCTTGAGCATAGATGTAAACTGTTATTTAAAGACCTGGTCTGATAATTCCAGCATCGAGGTCATTTTAGAGCTGTGATGGTTAATCTTGTTTTTTTGGACTGAGTTAAGAGATGCTGAGGGGTTAATAAAACACACTTCCAGTTGGATCTATGAGGGTATTCCCAGACAGGACCAAAGGTGGGGGAACACCTGAGGGGAAAAGACCCACTCCGAATGTGGGGAGCACCACTCAATAGGCTGGGAGTACAGATGAAGAAAGTGGGGGAAAGCTGGTTAGCTTTGCTTGCTCCCCCTTCTTGACTGAATGCATCACTGCTGTTATCACCATGGATGCAGACTCCTCCTTCTTCACCCCTTCCATGCAGACTCACAGCTGTGAGTCTCTGGGAAGCTTCTAGACTTCAGCGTTGGACTATGCCCATCATTGCTCAAGTCACTGCCATTATGAGGCTTCTGGCTTCTTGGAATGAACAACTATTTGGCTCGACTACTACCAGGCTCTGTGGTTTCCCAACACAAAGAATTCCCCATATAGTTTTTCTCTTTCTTTTGGGCCTATCCCTCTAGAGACCTGGATAATGAAGGTGGCATTTCTTTTAGTGGGGTGTTGTTTGTTTCTTGTAATGTTTTATAATTTTCTAGATCTTTATTTATCAAATTATTTTAGATTTTATCCTGGAAATGATGGATGTTATTTTGTACATACTTCAAGTTCTGTTTTATTCTTAGAGAAAAAAAAAAAACCAAATAAACCAACAACGATGTGTTTAGATTTGTACTGTCAACTTCATCTCACATTTTGTGGGTAGCAATTCCAATCTCAGTTCATTTTTTAAGATTCTGAGTTTGTCATGCGCATGGTGTTTTGGGGGCTAGTCCTGGAGTCCCACGTGGGTTCGCACACAGCAGCAGGACTCCTTTCCGTACATAGTTCCCGCCTTCTACAATTTGCCCAGGTGTGGCTGTTGGATGCTGCTTTGGCTGGATTTTAGACTGCACAGTGGTGAATCAGACTCTATTATGGGTTTGGCCACTCCTGCTCTGCCACCTAGGAGTGCAGTCCACTCCTGATGCAAATGTCCCTTCCCCAAACAAGTATTAAAGGGGACATTCAGTCATGTACTTCTTTATGTTCTGACTCCCCTCTACAACTATTTATATTTTTTTCTGACTCACTCTCACAGTAGCTTTTACAGTGTCTGGGTTTACAGGTATCATCAGGATGAGAAATGTTTTGTAAAGTTTCTATCATCATATAAACTCCTTTTGTTTGACATATAAACATATATTGTCCATGCTAAAAATTACATTAATATAATGAAGAGTATGTGGCAGTGGCCAGTTTCTTAAACTGGGTAATATTTAAAAAGAGATGTTTTACAATTGTTTTGTATGTTTATATACTTCATATGTTACATACTTTGCATGTTACTTCTTATCATGTATCCTTTTTAAGATGTCATGCTGACTATTCTTGGTTGTCAACTTGACTACATCTGAAATTAACTAAGTGATTGGGTACAATTGTGAAGGATTTTTTTAAATTAAATCATATTAAGTGGGAAGACCCACTTTTAATCTGGATTTTTAAGGTGGGAAGATACATCTTTAATCCAGATCTTTTGAGGTGGGAAGGGCCACACCTTTCTGCTGGCAGTTTGTATAAAGGACAGGAAAGAAGGAAGCTTGCTCTCTTTGCCTGGCTGCTCGATGGCAAGTCCATTCTTTCACTGGCATTGGAGCCTACTCCTTCAGGATTCCAGGGTATACTAATGATCATCTGGGACATCCAGACTGTGGACCTTCCTTTGGTAGACAGTCATTGTTGGATTAGCTGGACCATATCCTATAAGTCATTCTAATACATTCTGTGTGTATGTGTTTGTAAACATACAAAGTAATTCTCAAACATCTCATTATCATATATATGTATATTCATTCTATCAGTTCTGTTCCTCTAGAGAACCTAATAAAGATGTTTTACAATATGAAAAATGAAGTGTGCCTCTTGATAATGAAACCTTTGGCTCCTCACTTAATGTTTTCCTAATATTTTGTGATGAAATAATGTATTTATACCAATAAATTAAATAAAAAGATAATCTCTTGAATTATAAGTAAATACATCCCTTAAGTCTTACATCAGCATGAATAACTCAGTAAAGCATATTTAAAATGAGTTTAAGTAAGCAATGCTCTGTAGTATTTAAAATAGTACAGCACACAACTACAGCCTGAGGTTTTGGTTCAAAGTTTCATTCTGTTTCTTACTGGCAGTGTGACCTTGACTAAGTGACTTTCCTTGTTGTTAAATGGAGAAAGCAATAGCTACCTCTCAGGGTACTGGGGAGGTTAGTTAGGTCAGGGACATAGTGTATCTATCTCATGTAGCACCAGGCACCTATAAGATACTCAGTAAATAGAAACTATTACTAGTAGGAACACTAATGCTTCCTCATGAACCCCAAAGGATTTAGTCTATGACCTGCTTACTCAACTACTAATCTTCATCAAAATAGAGATGTCCCCTCACCTCCAGAAATCCGATCTGCAAGTAAATTCAGCATTAAAAGGGCACGTTTTCATCGACTGCGCCATCTAGTGGTATACATTATGTTCAAGGCTAGGCACCCACAAAAAGTAAAACTTCACACTGAGTTGAAACATCAGTAGGCTGGAGCCAACTGGCTGAAGTCAGAAAGGTAGGAGGAGAGTTATCACACATCTTTTAAGCAGCTCGCTTCACAACAGCTAGGGGGTGGCTTTTGTATTTTAAAACTTTCTAGTATATTTGTGGCATTTACCATACCAAATCCCAATATTTTTACAACATTGATTTTTCCTCTTAAGGAAAAACTGAGCCCATTTTAGTAACAAATATAGTAAGGAACAAGAATAAATTATGTGTGGGGGGGAATCAGGATACAATAAAACACACAAGTCATTGTGAAAAGTGCCATCAAAAAGTACAGCCTGTCATACAGTCTAGTGTGAGAAGACGTTTGGGAGGCTTAGACAAGAATAAAATCTTGCAAGTCTTGAAAGAGAACGTAATTGAAAAACTGGAGTATTACGCAAACAGGATGGCATGTGTAAATCCTGATGCAAAACAAGTACAGCAGCCACGTAAGAAAATGGGGGAGGGCCTCTGCAGAGAGCTCAAAAAGGACAGCCATTGTACGAAGGTCAGACTAGTGAAGTTGGCAGGGACTTAACACGTGCTCAAGAGTTTGAATATCATCCCAACAGTGAGAAGATGGAAGGCTGTAAGCAGGAAGGCACCAATTTGATTTGGCACTCTAATTTACGTTTTCAAAAGTTCACTTGTGGGAAATAACTTAGGCAGAGGGCAAAAAACGTCTGCCCAGATGGGCGGCAGTAATTTGGGCCAACACAGTGAAAGCTGAGAAAGGGGAAGAGGAAGTCGGAGAGTAAAAAGAAGAGCCGAGGGACAGAGAGGTGGAGAAATATTTAAGAGGCAAATGGATAAAGCCTGAGGATGGCGAACTAAATGGATAGACAATGCCATCTCACTGAGCACAAGTGGCTGGAGGTGCTTTCCTGGGGGGACTAACAGGACGGAGGACTAGACTTTTCTTGAAAAGGGAACTCTGATCCAGGCAGGGCAACCACGAAGTACCACTCAGAACCCACGGGTGCTCCAAAGGTCTAATTCAGACCTGTACCCCAGTGACACTCCTGCTGCACCGATAACCTTCGCCGAGCTTAGCCCTGCAATGCCCTTGGCTCCCTCCCGCAGCCAATTTCACTGCGTTTTGAATTTTCCAAGTCCAGTGCAAAGGACATTTTAAAGCAGACCTTCCTCCCGGCAGTCCTTTCGTCTGTCTCTCCCGCTACACTGCACATTCCCGGACAGCACAGACTGAGCGCCCACCTGCGTGCCCCGCGAGGCCAGTGCAGCGCCCTGCCAACACCACACAACCCACCAACTTACACCAGCCACCTTCCCGAGCGGAGCACCCACATACGAGCCTCTCTACTACCCAGCCCGGGCCCGCCGGAAGTGACGCGTCGGGGAAGGTGTACTTCCGGTCTCCACGGCCGCGCCCACGTCCGGGGCCGGGCTTCTCTGGCTTGCTGTCTCAGCTGCTCTGGAGGACTCACACGGGGTAAGGGGCTAGGCGGGCACCGCCGGTTGGGGTGTGCGAGCCTCCGTGCCGCCTCGGGCCGGCTGGAGCCGGACTCGTGCGGGAGGCGCGAGGACAGAGACCGGGGGCCGGGCCGATCGCCCAGCTCGGCTTTTGGGATCAGGCCGAGAGTGCCCGCGGGACGCGCTGCTGGGGGCGGAGGGGAAAAGTGCAGCCGCCGGTGTGGGAGCGTCTGGCTTGTCCAGCAGTTCCGGGTCACCCTCCCGACACCCCGAGCCTCCCATCCGGGGTGCCAGGAGGAGGATCCGCCCTCCAGGTGACAGTCCCCGGGGAGCAGTGCGCTGTAAAGTGACGTGCAGCGTCACTCACCCGCCCCGAAGGCAGGCTGCAGACTGCGGGCGCCAAGGCTTAATCTGCCCAGTACACAGGATGCTGCCCTAGGAGTGGCAACTCCCGTTCTTTGTGTCTGATGTTCTCGTTTACTGAAGAGGAAAAAGAAACGTTCTCGGAATTGCTAGGTAGCATGCAAAGTAAACTATTTAGTTTTATGTTGGCACCAAATAATTAGTCTTAAAAAATAAACTACTTTAAAAAACGTGCACATAGATACTCTAAATGAAACCTACTTATGACTACTCGAACATATTTCTTTTTTTTTTGGTTTTTCTTGACAGGGTTTCTCTGTGTAGTTTTGCGCCTTTCCTGGAACTCGCTTTGGAGACCAGGCTGGCCTCGAACTCACAGAGATCCGTCTGACTCTGCCTCCCGAGTGCTGGGACTAAAGGCGTGCGCCACCACCGCCCGGCTGAACATGTTTCTTAAGGGTATGCAAACAAGACTTCTTGGTATGAAGTTTGTTTTACAATTTGAATCATTAAAATGGGATAATTGAAAATGACCTAATACCATTGGACTACCCGTGGCAATCACCCTCATTAATAAGACTATCATGTGACTGCAAACACTTTATATACTGCCTTAATTTATAAATCTCTCGGGAAGAACTATAAAGATCAACTTAAAGGACAAGACTTCGCAATTTGTCTCATAGAAATGGCAAACTGAGCAAGCAGTTTGGGAGAAAGTAGCTTGGGATTTAAAGGTAGGAAAAGAAACAGCCAGGAAAACTGCAGGATTTGAGAAGACCGTTCACAGTATTTACATGTGATTTCTAATTTAAAAATCACGTCAAAACTTGTTACTTTCTAGTTTTAAGCAAATGTATATGCCTTTTTCTTCAACTGGAATGGAACTTCTCTGATCAATACCAAAATTATTTTAGAGAAATGTCTTTGCAGCATACCATGTGTTGATGCAGATAACTAAGTAAAGAGTTTTAATGATTTAAAGTTTGAGATAGGAGTATTTTTGATAATAATGACCTGTCTGTATATCTTCAGCTTTTAATTAATTGAATATTACTTGTTCTTATCTTGCAGATTGGTAAAGTACCTTTGCTGAAATCATGACCAGATGGGCTAGAGTGACTACCTCGAATAATAAGAGACCCTTGTCTGCGACATCATGGGAGGACATGAAGAAGGGGTCTTCAGAGAGCCCAGACCACAACCTCCCAAAGCATAAACAGCGTCAGATCAGTAGGCTGTCCCTTAAAAATGATGCGCCTCAAGGAAAACATAAAAAGAACAAAAAGAAAAAAGAGTACTTAAATGAAGATGTGAATGGATTCATGGAATACCTAAAACAGAACTCGCAGATGCTTCGCCATGGAGAGTTGATCGCGACAGACAGCCAGGAAGTACGGGAAGAAATCGCGGTGGCCTTAAAGAAAGACAGTCGGCGGGAGGAAAGACGGTTAAAAAGACAAGCAGCGAAGAAAAACGCAATGGTGAGGTCACTGTGTCTGTGTGTCGTTTACGTCTTCGTGTAACTAGAAACTCGTCCGTCTGCTCACACCATACATATTTTAACAGGGTCCTAGTGCATCTTTTTAAGGCTTGTGCTTTTTAGCCTGTGCACACACACACACACTTAATACACTGGTTAGTTGTCGTAACCACGCTACACAGATGGCCGTATTCCCATAGTACAGGCAGGAAACACAGAGGTCTGTCCAGGTTAAGTGAGAGCCACTTGGTCAGTGCTGGAGGTGAGATTCAAACTGAATTCAAAGGCTATGTTTGTCCTGCCGCTGTCTTCTGGTAACACCTTTTCAAATAGCTGTTGAAAAAAACTGCTCGATAGTTAAAGATGGTTCCCGTTACTTGGAAGGAATGGCCATTCTTCTCCTCTTATCCATAAAATATCCATTCATGAGAAAGAGGTTGGGTCCATGTAATCCTCTCTACATGAAAGTTAAGGAATCTCCAAGACTTGTGTGTGGCAATGATAGGTTTCAGACGCTGAGGCACCAATCCTCCTCGGGTTGGTGGAGGCCAGGCCCCTTGACTTCACAGCCAGCACTTGTGGCTTCCAAGCTCATAGCAGTCCTCCTGCTGAGAATGGAATACAGTCGTATGCCACTGTGCCTAGCCAAAAGCCATGTCTGTGTGTGTACATTTGTGCTCATGCTCGTGTTTGTATGTGGTTGGTATGTGGGTGGCTGGAGGTACAGGTTTAGGACACCATGTCTAGCCAGAAGCCATTAGTGTGTGGTGCATGTGTGTAAGCGAGCAAGTGCATGTGTGTGGAAGCCAGAAGACAACTTCAGGCGTCACTCCTCAGGCATCATCCACCTTGTTTTTGAGACAGGATCTTTTGCTAGCTCTCACTGTCCTGGAACTTTCTAGTTAAACTCTACAGGCTGGCCAACAGGCCACTCGCCTCTCCAGTAGTGGAATTCTAAGCGTGCTTTGCCACACTTGACTTTTTTTTACATGGTGTCTGAGGCTTGAATTCAGGTTGTCACGCATGTGTGGCAAGCGCTTTACTGACTGAGCTGTCTCTCCAGCCCTAAAAGACATTTTTTTGAAAGTACGTTTCATTTATCTTACCTACCTTATGTTTGTTTTTTTGTTTTTGTTTTCTTTTTTGAGAAAGGGTGTCACTGCAGCCTTGGCTGGCCTGGATCTGGCTCTGTAGATCCACTGGCCATGAAGTGACAGGGATCTGCCTACCTCTGCCACCCGAGTGCTGGAATTAAAAAGTGTAAACATTCTACCAGAGTGTAAACCCCTGATTTAATCTGATGATGATGATGATGATGATGATGACTGAAAATAGAGTCTTCTCTCATACAATACATCCTGATCAGTTTTCCCTCTGTCCACTCCTCCCAACTCCCCTTCCCCTTCCTTCTCCCCCAGTTCCACTCCCCCTCCATTTCCCTTCAGAAAAGAGCAGGCCTTCAAGAGACAGCAACCAAAAGATACAATAAAACAAGGCAAAGCCCTCATATTGAGGCTGGACGAGGCAACCCCACAGGAGGAAAAGAGTCCCGTGAGCAGGAGAAGAGTCAGAGACACACCGCCTCCCACTGTTAGGAGTCCCACGAAAACACCGAGCTGATAGCTGTAACATATGTTCACAGACCTATGCAGGCCCCATGTTTCAGTCTCTGTGAGCCTGTATAAGCCCTGCTTAGTTGATTCAGTGGACCGTGTTCTCCTGGTGTCCTCCATCCCCTCTGACACCTACAATCTTTCCTTCCCCCTCTTCCATGGGGTTCCCCAAGTGTCAGGGGCCCGATGGACACTTCCAATTTAGACTCTCTCTCGGCTTATGTCCAGCTGTGGGTCAAATAAACTTTTATATTTATGGGTGTATTGCCTACATGTATGTCTATGAACCACTTATGTGCCTGGTGGCCTGGGAAGCCAGAAGAGGGCATTGGTTCCCCTGGAACTAAAGATACAGACAGTTGTGAGCTCCAACCCCCTCTTGTGGGTGCTGGAAATGGAACCTGGGTCCTCTGGAAGATCAGCAGTGCTCTTAACATCTCTTCAGACCTAATTCCGCAAAGAGACAATGGTTATCATAATGCCAATTAGAGTATTTTGTTTACACCACCCGTGTAGACAAAACCTTCAATATTATTTAGTATGGTGTTTGAACTTTTAAAGTGTTTTCAATGTAAGAAAATAGTTGCTTTTATTTAAGTGGTTTTTTGTTTTTTTTATAAAACACAATTAAAATTAGTGATGGTGGTTTTTGTAGCTCCTGATTAAGTCTTGTCTTACTTTGGCTTGTGGTTTAAATGCCATTCTGCTGCTTTTGGCCATTTTCCACTTAAATGTGAGGTAGATTGTTAGAGGCATTATGTTTTTGTTTGTTTGTTTTGAGATGGGGCCTTGCTATGTAGCCCTGGCTGACTGGAACTAGCTATGTAGACCAGGCTGGCCTCAGACATAGGTTGACTTCTTGTCCATGCCTCCCATGTCCTGGAGTTGCAGACATCCACCACCACACCTGACCTCTAAATGACTTGAAATGGTTTAGATTTCTTCCATAGCCCGTAGTTCTCAGAAGAGACCTATTTTTGGAAGTCGTGTAGTCTGGGTGATGTTTTGGATAAGCCAATGCTCTTTAGTCAATGAAATCTCTCAGTGCAACTGTAGTGGACAAGCATCTGCATGTGTTAGTGGCACTTCCTGGAAACAAAGTGAGATGGATTTCCTCTTCCCATAGTTTACCTAATTGTCCTTTTAACATCTTAATATTTCTGCCATTTAGAACTTCTGTTTTGGATGACAGTTCTGACCCACCACATACTACTGTTTGGAGCCAATGTCAACCACTGTTGCATAGTCTTCAAATTTCCTTTCTGCTAGTCACTTTAGTAGAGACAGCACATCAGATGAGATCTATTGCTTTTCCTCTTGTGAACTATTGGCTATAACAGGAGTACAGTCTACCACGACATCAGGGTCTTCTGGCCTCGCCAAACAGACCATGACTTCACTTAATACTTCTCTTTCATCCAGTCCCACACTCCTGCTGGACAAAGCTTGGGCCATTGCTTCATGGAATCAGAAACTTCAGGAAACCCCCACCATATTTTGATGGACTTCTGTCTATAAAGAAGCAGAATCAGGCAATACCAGGTATTGCTGGATTATCATAGCCTCATTTTTTGAGACAGTTGGTTGCATAAATTTGTTTGTGTTGGCCGTGCCAGAGTCCCCATTTTTAGGAGACTTTCTGTAACAGGATTTGGCTGGTGATGGTGACGTGCCCTTTTCTTTCTGACAGGGTTTTTCTTTCATGTGATTTGTCCGGCTGTTCTATTTATGTGAGCAGGCGACTATTCTAGTGATTTCCTGACCTCTCCATTCTTAGGGGCGACATTAGACCTGTCCTGGTGAGGCAGAGCAGTGGAATGGTCCTCAGTGCTATCCTTAGCATTGTGGGTCTCGGATGCCATAATCTCTCAAAAACCCACACCTTAATGATGCTTTGGTGCCTCCCAGCACTGAAGAACCTTGGCTCCTGGCCGGCTCCACTCAGCCGTTCAAACACAGTCACCTGCTTGACCATCTCAGATAGCTCAGATCCTGTGATATGAATCATAGTGGAGACACTGAACCCAGCTTCAGTCAACTATGTGAAAATTAAAAATACAGGTTGTAATTTGAGTGATCCTTTTTTTATAACCATTGTGTGACTCCTCCAGAGGCCCCTCCCCCAAACATACGCTTTGTTTTCCGGTGCAGGCATCCTTAGTAAAAGTTGTATGTTCCATATTTGTTCAGTTCCTATGAGCAGTTGCCTCCTGCAAAGCCATTTGTAACTCTGTGTCTGAGACTAATGGATTAATGGGATTAGTTATCAGAAGCACTTAAGGTGCTGTAATAGAAAATGGCACCTGACCATTTGGGGATATGGAAAGTACTTTCTTCTACAGATAGAATATATGCTTTTTCTTTTAAACTTTAAAATTCAAAATAAGGATAGTTTTGATGAAAGGATGAGTGAAGGCAGGAGAGCAGCTTTACCACGTGGAAGCTCACGTTTTGCTTTCTCAGGTGTGTTTCCACTGTAGAAGACCTGGCCACGGAGTTGCCGATTGCCCGGCTGCACTCGAGAGTCAGGACATGGGCACTGGCATTTGTTACCGCTGTGGGTCCACAGAGCACGAGATCACCAAATGCAGGGCCAGCGTGGACCCCGCGCTCGGTATGTTCTCTTTCGGGTTCTTGTTTGGTGCTGTGGGAAGGTAACCATTAAATAGACAACTTGGTAAAAAAGATGTATTTTCTGTGTACAGCATTTTAAAGTAATGTGAATGATACGGCTTGTCGTATACTCAGTACACTAATGGGAACATTGATTCTTACAGGTGAATTTCCTTTTGCAAAGTGTTTTGTCTGTGGAGAAATGGGGCACCTGTCCAGGTCCTGCCCTGATAATCCCAAAGGAGTCTATGCTGACGGTGAGTGCCATTGTCCTCTGTGTCTGAAATGTGCGCATCGCTCAGAACTGTGATCTGACCTTTTTTAAAATCTGTTTTTAAATCCATTCTTGAATAGGTGAAACCTTGAGTACCTTTACCAAGCACTGTTCTGTGCTGGGCTATTTGTGTACTGTAGTTTAATTTATTGATAAATCAGGGAAAAGCTAAGGGATATCTTTCATCCTACTTGATTGAGCATTGCTTGTGAGAATATATTAAATATCTGTTGGTGTCTAAGCACAACAGAAGTGGAGAGAGTGTATCTCAAATTAGTAAAAGATTTGAAAAGCTGTGCCGTGCGTTAGTGCCGTCCCAGCATGCCATTCTGCTGGAGTGTGTACACACTGTTCTGTTTTGTTGTGGTATTTGTTTCTGAAGTCTCTCCTTAGGCGTGACCTGGGGCTTCATGTAATTTCTTGTCTGTGTCTCAGTTAGTGTCTGAGGGCTGCAGGAGGAAATTGTCTGTCATACAATGGCTGGTGCCGATAGACCCTTGGCATCTCGGTGTCATGGCTCGAGGTCTCCCTCCTTAGGTCCAGTGGAAAGATGTGTGGCTCTTGGAGTCTGTCTCACACCTGTCCAGCGGCAGGTCCCCAGCCAGGTCACGGAACTGTCCTTGTGTCCAGTGGGAATCACTGAACAGTGGGAAAAAGGAAGTTAGATTTCATGGGTTCTAAGATGCATTTTTTTTTTCATTTTTATATCTGAAATCAACTGTGTCATACCATCGGTGGGTCTTACATGATTGGTATCTTTTTTGACTTTCTGGAAGATGTGTAAAGTAATGACACTCCTTACAATCAGTGATGTTTGTTCACACTGACCCTCCAAGACTGCTAATAAAGTTAACCTTGAATCAGGGATGGGGTCAGCCCTAGCTGACCGGAATTAACCACAGAGGCATGGAGGACCCAGGGAGCTGGATAGAGAGATGCACAGGAAGTAGTAGGGAGGGACTTGGAGATTTCGCTGGGGAAATATTTTGATCTGGGAAGCCTGGAAAGGTGGGATCTGCTGATGGTTCCTCTGCTGCTCTTTGGATCCATCAGGTTTTTACCCCAATATCTGACTCCCGAGTTTTTATTAATATAGAACAAGTTAGGTAAACGCATCAGTGGTGTCTTAGATTTGCTCAGTTATGGCTTTTATCTGTTTTAAAGTAAATGCATCAGTCAAAGGCCTCTTCTGTTCTCACCGTTGCGTAAAGAAGGGTCTTGGGCCTGGGAAGCTGACTTGTGAGCAAAAATGGCGTGGCATGGTGAGCAAATTGGAGCGTTTTCATTGTTCCCTTAAAGCAAGAGGCATATATCCCACTCATGTGAGACAGGTTTGTATCCTGTGGGGATGTTTTCTGAGTTGACTCTTCACACAAGCCTGTTTATGAGAAGGCCTGACTGTTATGTGAAGCCCCGTTGTGGAAACCACGTGTTGTAACTCGCCATCCTGCAATGTTGCTTAAATTAGACAGACGGGTGTGTTTTTAGGTTAGCAGGATTGGCAGATGGAAGGCACAGAACCAGATTTCCCTGAAGTAATGACTACCCGTCTGACCTATGTAGTAGAGCAGTGGTGTTTACTAACCTTTGTGGGGCGGGGGGGCGGGACTTACTGAGAAACTGATAGAAATGTGGGCATCATTCTGTGTGTTGGGGGGGAGGTGTGACCCTGTACAGGTTTTGTTTCCAGGTGAAGGCTCCACACCCTGACTGTCTCTCCAGGAGTAATCTCTAGACTTCTGTGCCATAGCTCTTGGAAAGATGACTTCTGTCTCACGTGTCTCTTCTCCACTTCTCTCTTGAAGGTCAGGTACGGGAAGCAGCTCCTGAAATTCGGGAGTGGCAAAGGAGTTTTAGCAGGTGTAACAGTACCCACCCAGCTTCCTGACTCCAGCTGCCTTTAGAGTCATCAGCGATGTGTAGACAAGAAAATGTTCACCGGTGTTAGGAACCCTGGGTCGGCATGATATAATACTCAATGACTCTGTTGTTTTTTTTTTTTTTTTTTTTTTCTAGGTGGTGGCTGTAAACTCTGTGGCTCTGTAGAACATTTTAAGAAAGATTGCCCTGAAAATCAAAATTCAGGTGAGCTCCTAGGCCTCCGTCTATGAGGGTGTTTCTCTCTGTGCTCGCTGAGTTCCATTAGTAATTAACTTGTAGAGGCACTGTTGACTGCACACAGCTGCTTTGGCCCACGACAGTGACAAGTCAGCACAGTCCTGCGTCCCTGGACCTCAGGACTGTTCTCAGGGGAAGAGAGCTGGTAAGCTGCAGGACTCCATTTTGAAAAGCATCTTACAAGCTTTGGCATTTGCTCAGAAATGGAATTAATTATACTAGAACTTACTTTGTTACTTGCCAAAAAAGTATTGATTCCTAAGGTAAAACTCAACTACAAAATTAATTTTCAACACTCATAAGCCTGAGTGTCCTCGTGTGCTTTGCTTTGTGTGTTCTAAAATGACTGTAAAGCTGTTAAACTTATTAAAAATGTGTTATCAACGCAGCATCTGCCGACTGCTTTTTTCCTCTAGTGAAATATTAGCCTGGATCATTAAAAACTTCTAATGTTCACTGTTACATGCAGCAGACTTCTAAGAAAGTAGAGATCATGATTCCCTTAGTTAGCCAGGGTTAGAATAGAGATGGATGTTCTTGTGTTAATGAACACAGAACAGGTCTGGGCAGGTGGCCCGATGGCACGTGGACCTGAGTTTGGTCCCCAGAACTGACTAAAAGCTGGCTGTGGTGGTTGTGGGCTTTAATCTCAGCACTGGGGAGGCACAGAGAGGTGGATCCCTGGGGTGCATTTCCTGGTCACGGTTCATCACCGAGTCTCCCCATTCTTACTTTCTTCCGCTAATGTTTTTAAATGCGAAAGCCAGGAGTTCTTGTTTATAATCTTGTCTAGAAGGAGATCATCTTTATATGGTGTAGGCTGTGAGATTGAAATGATGAAGTGGGATTTGAATTCTCCCTCCTGGGAGGATTGCCACTTCCCAAATGACAAAACTGACAAGCAGATGTTGTATAATTTCACAGGTGGAATCTTGTGCATTTAAAACTAATGCCTCCTAAGTCTTGCTGTTTACGGGCTCTTGGAATTCATTGACTCTTCAGTGATGAACTCTGGGAAAGAATGAAGGAGGTTTCTCGTCAGTTTGTGCATTGCAAAGTAGCTGCTGCATTTCCCTAATTGGGATGAGAAATTGCCTGTGGTACTCAGAAATCAAGAGTTCCAATCAATTACAGAATTGCTCACTTTCCTGCGGTGATGGAGGCTTCTCTCCTTGTGATTACGCATGTCAAAACTAGTTCCTTTGCCCAACCGATAGCACTCTAAGTGGAAATATTTGATTACTGTTGGTTTTATATCTTGATTTTTTTTTTAATCCCTCTACAGATCGAGTGGTCACAGTTGGTCGCTGGGCAAAGGGAATGAGTGCAGACTATGAAGAAGTTCTGGATGTGCCCAAACCACAGAAGCCTAAAACTAAAGTACCCAAAGTTGTCAATTTTTAATAAGAATCAGTACTGTTGTTAATCACCACCTCACTGTTACTTTCCAAAGTAGGCCTTTACAGGCCAGAGCTGGGTGCCTGTGGAGGCAAGCCTGTATTACAGACACCACTCTGACCTTGGCAGGGTCAAATTGCCTGCATTCTGTCGATCAAGGAGTATGGGGTGTGTGGACACTGTGTGTGTGTGTGTGTGTGTGTGTGTGTGTGTGTGTGTGTGTGTGTGTGTGTGTCTGTATTTGATACAGATTCTGTGTAGCTCAGGTTGGCTTCAAACTAGTAGCCCTGCCTCGGTGCCCTGGGTCCTAAGGTTACAGGCGTGTGCCTAAGAACATAATTTAACAGACAGAACTTGGACGTAACTAAGTGACTGTCACCTCTGTAAATCTATTCATCAAAACTGATCACCCCTAAACAAAGCACACAGCTTCAAGTCTGTGAATAAGTAGAATTTTGTTATTCTTAATTCAGAGTGTCAATTTATTGTAATAGAACATTATTTATATGTTGTCACAAAGTCTGTATTTTAGTACCGAATAAAATCTATGAGCCGTTTGTCTATATTGAACTGGCCATTGTTTGTCACTCTCATTTCAGAGTCCCCTTCATAGGGATAAATGGGGATCTGTTTAGTTTTAATACAAAGAATTGGAAATTACTAATATTAAAATTAAGGAGTACTCCAGCCTCACAGCTCTGTTTTGCCTTCAGTTTTTCAAGAGAGAAATTCTAGCCAAAAAAAATAATGTGCAGTATTCAGGAGAGTGACGGTATGACAGATCGTGTATTAGACGTCCCAGCGTTGTGTTCGCGTGCTGTAGATGAGTCAGGGTGTGATGGAAGGATCACCATAATAGAGTTAGAACACTAATCAGAGACCCATTAGCTTCTTTGTCTGATTTGATGAATACATGCATATTTAATACATATATTCCACAAGCCCTGCCACGGCCATTGTGCAGTGTAATGGAATGACTGGGGGTTTGCGAGTTCCGTTTGAAATTTTACCTGATTGAATCCATTTGTAACTGAAGGAAGCAGCTGTGATTAGTTACTGATGCCTCAAAAGCTAAATATTTACCAAATAAGAAAAGGAGCGTTTTCTCTGTTTTCATGTCTGCACAGCTTAACAGTTCGGGTCTTAATGGGAGCTGTTCTTTTATTTTCAGTGAGAGGAAACACGCTGACAGAACAGTGCTCAGCATCCCAGAGCTGGAGGAAGGGAGTGTGCTTCAAAGGAATTGCCAGCCAGCCGCGCTGCTGGAGAGGGGCTAGTGAAGGCAGACTCCTCCCCGTCCCAGGAGCACGGGGAAGCCTGTGCTTTCTGGACGGTCCTCACTGCTGCAGTGCCACTGCTGGCCGGTTTGCCTTCCTTAGGTCCCTCGGTTTAGGTTAATGGTTTAATCCATCAGGGAGTGAAGGCAGTAAAAAGGAATCACAGGTGCTGAAGGCAGCATTTTAAAAGTGCACAGGTGCTGCAAGGAGTGTCCTAGAGGTGGGAGTGATGGGTGACCAGAATGATCGGCTGTTCCTTGAACTGGGAATGCCAGAGAAGGTTGGCATTGACTTTGTCTACCCGGTATGCGAGCTCTGCTTGTTCTCAGGCACTGGGCTTATGTCTATGAATAAACACAGCCGTGAGCATTTGTCAGTGGGACTGAAGAGTGAAGTTGGATTAGGGAAAACGCCCTGCCTGACTTTTACAGGGTAGTGGAGCTCTAAAGTCAGTGCATAATATGTTTGTGTATATATTGTGGCAGTATATATTTGTACGTAATATATATATTTGTGTGTGTGTGTGTGTGTGTGTGTGTGTGTGTGTGTGTGTGTGTGTAGGGTTTTTGAGACAGGGTTTCTCTGTGTAACAATTCTGGCTGTCCTGGAACTTACTCTGTAGACGAGGCTGGCCTTGAACTCACAGAGTTCTGCTGCCTTTTCTTCCCAAGTGCTGGGATTAAAGGCGTGCGCCACCTCTGCCCAGCTATTTGTGTATATAGTATGACTTCTAGTTTAGTGTTTTTATGGGGTTCCCGGGTGTGTGAACAAGTGAGTCTCTGCATCTCTGTTTCTTGTGCCTTTCCTTGGGCTCTTTTCCTTCTGTTTGTTTTGCCCTATTCCAGTGCGCTAGTATGTGTCATGTCATATTATAATTCCTTAGAAGCCTGTTTGTTTTCTAATGAGAGACAGAAAGCAGATAGATCTGGATGGGAGGAGTAGAGGGAAAGGAAACTAATTGTGAAAGACCCTAGCCCTTCAGGCTTACACCCCCCAAGCCTCAGGAAGAGAGAAACTTCAAGCACCAGGAAATGAGAAACTAAAAATCTAGTTCCAAGGGCCACCTGACTCAGCCACTACTCAATCACCCCTGTGACAATATAACAATGTAAAAAGATTTCTGTTAAGAAATGTGCTCAACTGTGACTGGGATAGTTGCAGGTGTTCCAGGAAGGACCACTGTGACCTTTGTGTAAACTCCACTCCCGCCCTGATACCCCCCTTGAGGTTTCAGGAAGAATGTACATGTTGACGTGACTGTACCCACTCTGTGATCAGGCCATGAAATTGTATGGGAATTGTAATCTTGTGGGTTTTGTGGATTTTTCCTTTAAAAGCCCTTATGGGGCTGCAATAAGATGCGGCTCTTGCTCTTAGGAGCAGAGTTTGCCCTTCTGTACAGAAGCCAATAAATTCCTCGTGCTGTTGCATCAACTGGATTGGAGTCTGGGTTCTTGGGGCGCCCACTTGAGACCCTAAACCTTTGGGGTCCAACAATCGGAATATGTGAGAAAAAGAGTATTTCAACAAAAAGGAAAAAAGGAGAAAATTTTAAAGTATTAGAGATGAAACATGTCATAGTAACAGTGGAAGCCAGGAGACAGCGTCTGACATCGGTGATGTGGGAAGAAATGTCGTTTTCAGTCTAAACTCTGCCCATTGAGATTAAATGTAAAGATCAAGAACAAATAAAATAGGACACACCACCCAAAGCTCCTCTGTAAAACACTTCAGTGTTGCCCTTTGAGCAGAAGTGAGGGTCTGAGGAATCGAGTGCAAACCAATGCAAAGAGAGGTAAGAGCCCTCCTGGGGGATGGCGTGAGAGCCACATGGTGGGGGAGGAGAACCGACTTCTGAGGGCTACCTTCTACTTTATATTGTTGGACCCCGAAGTTTAGGGTCTCAAGTGGGTGCCCCAAGAACCCAGACTCCAGTCCAGTTGATGCAACAGCACGAGGATTTTATTGGCTTCTGTACAGAAGGGCAAACTCTGCTCCCAAGAGCAAGAGCCACATCTTACTGCAGCCACATGGGGGTTTTTAAAGGAAAAACCCACAAAACCCACAAGATTACAATTCCCATACAATTTCATGGCCTGATCACAGGGTGATCACAGAGGGGGTACAGTTACGTAAACCTCAAGGGGGGTATCAGGGCGGGAGTGGAGCTTACACACAGGTCACAGTGGTCCTTCCTGGAACACTTGCAACTATCCCAGTCACAGTTGAGCACATTTCTTAACAGAAATCTTTTTACATTGTTATATTGTCACAGGGGTGATTGAGTAGTGGCTGAGTCAGGTGGCCCTTGGAACTAGATTTTTAGTTTCTCATTTCCTGGTGCTTGAAGTTTCTCTCTTCCTGAGGCTTGGGGGTGTAAGCCTGAAGGGCTAAGGTCATTCAATATGTGCACCATAGCACATGTACCCCCCGCACACATAAATACATGGAATCAAATGGATAAGAAGCCACATTGGCGTAAGTGCGTAAATTGGAATGAATACCGCTCTGAGTAAAGCAAAGGAGTAACACAGATGCCTGTGCTTTACCATAAAGGACGTGTGTCAACTGCTCTCGGTGCTGACCCTGACTAGAAGCCGCCTCTGGGAGACTGTTTATTTGGGCTCACCATTTGAGAGGATGCAGTCCATCCTGGCAGGCAAGGCATGGTGGTCAGGGCGTGAGGCAGGATATGCAATCAGAAGCGGAAACCCTAAGAAGTGGGGTTGAGCCAAGAAACCTTAAGATCCCACCACCCCACCCCACCCCACCACCCCACCGTACCCCACCCCACCCCACCCCACCGTACCCCACCCCACTCCCCCACCCCACCCCACCCCCAGAGATCCACCTCCTCCAGTTGTGCCCCACCCCAAGGCCCTCCCCTAGCTGAGCCTCAAGGTACATTTCACATTCAAACCACGACAGTGTATAAACAGAGAAGTGTCCAATGAATGTAGGATAAAATTCTGTCATACTGTTTTTGTGAAGAGAAGGGATACAAAGATACTTGAAATTTTCAGGCTTTAACAGTAAAATGAGGATGTTGGGGAGAGGGCTATTTTAACTCAGACAATCCACTGAAAGCTTAGTACGTACACAAGTACTGGGGATGTAACAATGAACAAAATAGAAATCCTGGCTTTTGTACAGCTTACATTTGAATTGGGAATGAAAGGGGAAAAAATGGCTAAAAGTTTGTCAGTTAGGCAATGGTAACCAGTGAACAGGAAACCTAGAAGTGGAATGGGAGGTCTTAGGGGTGAGGATAGGTATGTGTTACATGAAGATCAGACAGAAATGAGACAGTAAGCCTGGCGTCTCCGCAGGGTAAGAATAGACCTCACTGAGGTAGGAGCGAGCCTGATGGCTGGTGAGCCGCAGAGATCAGTGTGATTGGAAAAGCGTGAGGGGTCGGCTAGCTGGGGAAGGCCAGATAGTGAGTAGGAGTGCTGTCCTCTAAGCTGGATCCACCAGTGTCTGCTGAGGAACTGCAGGCTCTCAGAAGCATGCAGTAATGTGCATCAGAGGTCTTGGCTGGGCAAGTTCTGCAACTCTCATGTGGGAGGGTCTGCATCCCTTAGCCATTTGGTTGGGAGTCAGCTGGTTTAAGCTGGCCTCACTTAAAGCTACTCTAGTATACATGTCTCTCTTCCTTTGCCCAAACCAACAGCCAACCCCGATGTGTGTGTCTCCAGATAGTGGCAAAGATGCCAGAGGGCAAGACCATTTCCAAGAACAGCCTTCCAGCCCTTGGCTGCAGCATGTCTACTAACGTTCTGTGGAGGAATTACGTGGCTAAGCCCGGAGGCAGGTGATGAGTACATCAATCCGTGGAGGCGGGGATGCAAGGAGAGAGTGAACATTTCTGGAAAGTTATCTAAAGTGCCACACAGGCCCTCAGGAGACCCTGGCCTTTCCTGTGATATGCAACATTGCTCATCACAAGGGATGTGGCATGAGCAGAGTCTGGGCTGAGAAGAGAGGGAAGGAGAGAGGAAGAAAAGAGGCAGGAAGATGAGTGGTGTCCAGATGGGAGCAGATGGTGGTGTGAGTTGGTGTGCTGAAACTGATTTACAGTAGTCAGGTCCTGACACTGTTTTTAACATAGGATTAATCAGATTTGCTGAGGGGGTGGAGTGGGAGGGGGAGATTTAATGTGGACAGGAAGCAGATTGAGTGTTGATGTGGAATATTACTCTAACTATGCAAAGATGTGTTGCATTTGTTTATGCTGCATTTGTTTAACTATGTAAAGATGTGCCGCTGTTTCACCTCGCCTGCCTGAGGCAC